GTCAAATTTGTCAGTGTTTTTTTTCTGTTGGACTCTGAAGGCATCTGCGCTTACATACGTCCTGGGGTCCAGGAAGCTTTCAGAAATCTGTCAGCAATGAACAGAAGCTGGACGCTGTGCAGCCTCTGCTCTGAGCGGCCTTGTCTTCTAGATAGTTATGAATAAATAATGCACATTATGAGTTCACCTATGGGAGGGGGTCATCCGGTGAGCATTTAGTGATGTGCTATTCAAAACCTTTTTATTGAAGTATAGTCATTTTACAGTATTGCATCAATTTCTGGTGCACAGTATAATGTTTCAGTCATACATACACATATATATATTCGTTTTCATATTCTTTTTCATTATGTGTTACGACAAGATATTGAGTATAGTCCCCTGTGCTAAACAGTGGAAACTTGTTTATCTATTTTGTATATAGTAGTTTGTATCTTCAAATCTCATTTATCCTTTCCCACCCCCTTTCCTCCTTGGTAAATGTAAGTTTGTTTTCTATGTCTGTGAGTCTGTTTCTGTTTTACAAAGAAATTCATTTGTATCTTTTTTAGATTCTACATGTAAGTGTTAGCATATGGCCTTTTTCTTTCTCTTTCTGGCTTACTTCACTTAGAATGATGATCTTTAGGTCCTTCCATGTTGCTGCATATGGCATTATTTTATTCTTTTTTTATTAGCCGAGTAGTGTTCCATTGTGTATATATATCATAACTACTTCATCCAGTCATCTGTTGTCGATGGACATTTAGATTGTTTCCATGTCTTGGTTATCGTAAATAGTGCTGCTGTGAACACTGGGGTGCACATATCTTTTTGAATTAGAGTTCCCCCTGGATATATGCCCAGGAGTGCGATTTCTAAATCATATGGTAAGTCTATTTTTAGTTTTTAAAGGAATCTCCATACTATTTTTCACAATGGTGCACCAAACTACACTCCCACCCTCAGCGTAGGAGGGCTCCCTTTTCTCCACACGCTCTCCAGCATTGATTGCTTATAGACTCTCTGATGATGGCCACTCTTGACTGGTGTGAGGAGGTTCCTCGTAGTTTTGACTTGCATTTCTCTGTGCTATTATTATGAATGATCTTTTTCGTTATTGTTGTGAATTACAGAAAACGGGAAAAATCATCAAGTCACTTTGTATCTAATAATAAAGATAGCGACCACATATTGCATGGTTATGATGAAGCAAGGTCCATGCAGGCAGAAGGCGGCATTGAACACGAAGAACTCATAGACTTCTCACACTATCCTCTGCAAAGCCAAACTTAGTCCTTCAGCACCTTCCACGTCTATGCCTCCTCCAGGCTTTCCTATTTTAGTGAAAAACTCCAGCGTCCCTCTAATTGCTCAAACTAGAAAACCTGAAGCCATCCCCAACCGCCTACTCCTGCAGCCCACAGACAAACCAGTGCCAGGTCCTGCCAAGTCACACTCTAAGATGTTTCTCAAACTCATCCTCCCCTGCCAATCCCTCAACTCAGCGAGCATCAGTTCTTGCTCAAATGACTCTTAATGGGGCTTCTTGCTTTCGTTCTTGCTCCCCTACAACCCTACCTTTATTTACACAGGACTCAGAATGACCCTTAAAATATCAGTTGGATCACAACCTTCAACGACTTACAACTCGTCAGTGAGTTTTCATCACTGAATCGTGTTGCTTGGATGGTGAAATCCAGATGCCTTAGCATGGTCTCTGAGACTGCCCTGACCTCTCACCTCCCCAACACTCACCAACGCTGAGCCAGCCTGCCTTTCCCGTTCCTCTGACATGGCAAGCTCTTTTCTACCTTTGCGTCAAATATCCTCTCTTCTCCCCTACTTCTTGCCGCTCTTAATTGGTTAACACAGAACTCTCTTTCTCTTTTTTTTTCCTTCATGGCACTTAGAGCAACCTATCATTTTTTCTTTACTTATATGTATTGGTTATCTTTTCAAAAATTGTTTATTGAAGTATGGTCAGTTACAATGTGAATTTCTGGTGCACAGCATACTGTTTCAGTCATACATATACACACATGTATTCGTTTCCATGTTCTTTTTCATTATAAGTTGCTACAAGATATCGAATATAGTTCCCTGTGCTGTACAGTAGAAACTTGTTGTTTGTCCATTTTATGTAGTAGTTAGTATCTGCAAATCTCAAACTCCCAATTATCCCTTCCCACCCTCTTTCCCCCCAGGTAACCATAAGTTTGTTTTCTATGTCTGTGAGTCTGTTTCTGTTTTGTAAATGAGTTCATTGGTGTCTTCTTCCCTCCTCCTCCTCCCCCTCCCCTTCCCCTTCTCCCCCACCTCCTTCTCCTCCTTTCTCCTTCTTTCTTTAGATTGAACCTATGAGTGATATCCTATGGTATTTTTCTTTCTATTTCTGGCTTACTTCATTTAGAATGACGATCTCCAGGTCCATCCATGTTGCTGCAAATGACATTATTTTATTCTTTCTTATATCTGAGTATTATCCCATTGTATATAAATATATCACATCTTCTTTACCCAGGCACCTATTGATGGACATCTAGGTTGCTTCCATGTCTTGGCTGTTGCATATAGTGCTTCTGTGAACGTTGGGATGCATGTGTCTTTTCAAATTAGAGTTCCTGCTAATATATGACCAGGAGTGGGATTGCTGGATCACATGGTAAGTCTATTTTTAATTTTTTGAAGAATCTCCACACTGTTTTCCATAATGGCTGAGTGTATTGGTTATCTTTTACTGTATAATAAATTACCCCGAAACTGAGTGGCCTGCAGCAACAACATTTATTATCTCCCTGTGTCTGTGGGTCTGGAATCCAGGTTCACTTAGCTGAGTCCTCAGCTTCAGGGTCTCTCAAAGGCTGTAAAGAAAGTGTCTGCTGGGCACCAGTCTTCTCAGGGCCCAGTGGGAGCAGGATCCCCTTCCAAGATCACTCATGGTTGTTGGCAGGATTCAGTTCCTTATTGGCTCTAGTACCAAAGGTCTCAGTCTCCAGCTGGCAGTTGGCCAGAGGTCACCCTCAGTTTCTAGCAATGTGGGGCCTCTTCAGCATCTCAGCTTGTTTCATCAAGGCATGCCTGCTGAAAAAGCAATAGAGAGAGTTGTGCTAGGAAGACAGAAGTCAGTCTTTTGAAATTGAATTGTGGAAATGACATCCCATCACTTTACAATATCGTATTTGTTGGAATCAAGTCACCAGGTGCCGCCCAAGGTCAAGGAGAGGGAATTACACAAGGGCATGAATCCTAGGATTTTAGATCATCTGGAACCATCTTAGAAGTCTGCCTACCACAATACATTATCATTTCACTAATACTTGTCTCTCCCACTAGATTGTGAATTGTGAGAGCGTATGCTTTTTTCACTCCATTTTATTAACATTTTAAAACATTATGATATATACATGACATTAAATTTACCCTTTTGACCATTTTAAAATGCACCAGTCAGTGGCATTAACCACATTCACATTGCTGTGCAACCATCCCGCCATCATCTGAACTTTCTCGTCTTCCCAAACTGAAACTCTGTCCCTGTGAAACACTCACTCCACAGCCCCTCCCACAGCCCCTGGCCCCCACCATCTACTTTCTGTCTCTGTGGATTTGACTCGTCTAAGGACTTCTTGTGAGTGGAATCAGACTGTACTTGTCCTCTTGTGACTGTCTTACTTTGCTCAGCCTAATGTCTTCAAGTTCCATCCACATTGTAGCATTGCTCCCACTTTATTCTTGACACCTTTCCCTATGCCCGGCTCATGGTAGGCTGACAAAAAGAGTTTAGTTAACATGAGTTAATACAGTCCTCTCTTTCATAAATCTGGTTGCTTTCATGGGACAGTGGAACAAGCTATTTTTTAGATGTCCTCTTCTTGTGGGGAGGGTATAGCTAAAGTGGTAGAGTGCATGCTTAGCATTCACGAGGTCCTGGATTCAATCCCCAGTATCTCCCCTAGAAATAAATAAACCTAATTACCTCCTCTCCCCAAAATAAAAAATTAAAATAATACAATAATAAAATATTTTAAAAAGTAAATAAATAAAATGGCCCCTTCTCCCCATCTAAAAAAATCAATAATCAATTTTCAATCTTCATCTTACTTCATCTATTGGCAGCATCAACGTAATAACCAAATGATTCTGTTAAAATATGTTGGATCTGTCACATCTGTGATTAAAACTCTGCAATGGCTCCCATTTACCTCAAAGTCCTTTTGATGCCCTCTAAGGCTTTCCATGATCTACCTCCCTTTACCTCCAAATACAGCTCTCCACTTCACTGTGTTTTGGCCACACTGGCATTAGTGTACACTCCTGCCTCTGGGCCTTCATACCCTTAGGTCCTTCTGCATGGAGCACTTTACCTCCATGTATCCACTTGATGACTTCTCCACGTTGAAGTCTTTGCTCAAATATCTCTTTCTCCATGAAGTCTACTTGAGCATTTTATTTAAAATAGCAACCCACCACCCAGCATTCTTGATAACCCTTACTGGGCTCTATTGTTTCAGGGCACTTGTCACCTTCTAACATAACTTTATTACTTATTATGTTTATTAATTATTTTCTGTGTCTTCTCCTGGAACTTAAGCTCCAAAAGGGGAGAGATCTGCCTTTTGTTGTTAGATGTCCTCCAAGAAAAGGCCTTGGCATATAGAAGGCAGAGATGTTGAACGGATAAAACTGTTTCTTAAGCCGACGAGAAGGGCAGTAGCAGCGAGGACACTCCGAGAGTGACAGTCTCCCGTAGCAAATCGTTTCCTGTCAATGGCCAAGCCTCAATCCGAATGGGATTCAGCACCGGGGCCCCTGGACAGCTCTGGAAGCCAAGTGCTGCCGGAACCCTTCCCCTAAGGTAGAGGTTTCCCACCGGAGCTGCCCGGTGGCCGTACCCGCCGCTCCGTGGGAGGAAACCACTTTCCCGAGCCGGTAGGAGAGGTGGAGTCGCAGGGTGAGTGGCAGCCGTAGCAACCAATGGCCTGGAGAATTTGGTCCGCGGCGCTTGGGGTGGCCAATGGGCAGGGACGTGGGCGGAGCGTGGGCAGCGGCGCGCTGAGCTGGGGCTCCGCTGGGAGCGCGGCAGCGGGGTCCACATTGCGCGGCAGTTGAGTGCCGGGCGGCTTCGGCGGGCGGGCGAGGGCCCAGCAGAGGTACGCGCTGCCCGGGGCGGGGCTAGAGGCCTGGGGAGGGACCGGGCCGGGCGGCTCGAGGCCTGGCGGGCTCTGTTGCCCGTTAGCCGAGGCCCGGCCGCTGCGCCCACCCTGGCTTTGCCTTTACATGCGATCTGTGTGATTTGCATCCGGCTCCCCCAGCGGAACGCTAGCTGTCTCCCCTTGGGCGGGCCCCCGGTGCAGGGCCAGGTATACAGAAGGCGTTCAATAAGTGATGAACGAAAGGCTGAGTGAATGAGCCCGTCTCCTCTGCCCAACCCCATTAGCCCCCGGTTTTTGAGCGTCCAGGCCACCCTCAGCCCCACGCCACAAAAGGGGACATCCGGACACTCGGCAGGTATTTATTGGGCGCCGACTATGTACCTAGCTTTGGCCTGGGTAAGATAGACTCCTAACCCCCGTGGAGGCTGCAGTCTAGGGTGAGTAAGGACGTTCAGGGACTTTATGTAGTTCTCCGTAGCACCAATAATGCCAGAAAATCATGCCAGGGGAAGAGGTGGGAGACGCCTGCCCCAGTGACATCTGAGCTGACGGGGGGTGCGGGCAGTGAGAACTGAAAGGCTGGGGAGAAAGCCCAGGGATGGGGAGCAGCCAAGGCCCCTCGCACTAATGGTGACATTTTCAGGTCTAGGGTGAGATCTGCTTCGCTTTGGCTCACTGAGTCCTGTGAAGAGGTCCACATGCTTCAGCTTACCCATCTGTTCAGCCAGCGCTCACTGAGCATCTGTTCTGTGCCAGGCCTTTCGGTAGGTACCCTTAAGGGATGCTGTTTAGGGCCGGGTCAGCCCAGGGGGTGCTCCTAAGGGGTTCTGGAGGCAGTGACCTCAACGACCAGCATCCTTGGAAGGTTGGGGGAGAGAAGTGGTCCAGGTCAAGAGAACAACCTGCACAAAGGCCCTGAGGCAGGAACAGGCTTGGCACTCTAAAGACCACCAAGGCCATGTTTTATTTAATTTTAATGAACTCACACAGACCCACGTGGCTAGTGACTGCTGTATTGGACAGCACAGTCATGGAGAATTTTCTGTGGGAGGGAGATACATACCAGGCCGGAAATAGGGTGAAGGGCTGGGGGTGATGGGCATGGTCGTCAGAGCTGGTCACATAACCCATCCAAGCTGATGCGGGTGCCTCTGGTGTTCACAGTGGCTGGGCTGAGGCATGAGCCCCCGGCTGTGTGGCTGGGCCCCTTAGCGCGTCGCTGGACAGAGTGTGCGCCCACACATGGTGTGGCCCTGCAGTGACCGGTGACCGGAGCAGCCCGGGCTGCTGCCACGATGAAGTTGTTGGTGGCCAAAATCCTGTGCATGGTGGGCGTGTTCTTCTTCATGCTGCTCGGCTCCCTGCTCCCTGTGAAGATTATCGAGGCAGATTTTGAGAAGGCCCATCGTTCAAAGAAGGTCCTCTCACTCTGCAACACCTTCGGAGGCGGGGTCTTCCTGGCCACGTGCTTCAATGCTTTACTTCCGGCCGTGAGGGAGAAGGTAAGGCTCCCTGGGTGGTGGCTTCTCTTTTTTTTTTTAATTGAGATATAGTTGGTGTATGATATTGTATAAATTATAGGGGTACAACAGTAATTCACAGTTTTAAAGATTATACCCCACTTATAGTTATTATAAGCTACGGACTGTGTTCCCTGTGCTATGTAGTAGATCCTTGTAGCAAACTTTTTAAAAAAATTTTTACTTATTTGCAGTGGGGAGGTAATTAGGTTATTTATTTATTTATTTTAATGGAAGTACTGGGGATTGAACTCAAGACCTTATGCATGCTAAGCACTCACTCT